CCGTGAGAGTGGTGGGAATAAAAAAATTAACAACATCATTCCTGTTAATGGAATTTCCCCAAGTGAATGTAGTCACTGGGCCGAAATAGCAAGATATCTGCCAAGAGTAAAAAGTTCCAAGAATCAGATTCAGAGCGTATTTATTCACGCCATTGGCTGAAAATTGCGTTCAAACGTTGACACCAGTATTGACTCTCACTATATATATACATATATATATATATATATATATATATATATATATATATATATATATATGAGTGTGTGTGTGTGTGTAATTGGTGTTGACATCAGTATTGACTCTCACTCATATATATATATATATATATATATATATATATTTGTATATGTATATTCATATATATATATATATATATATATATATATATATGTAAAGGAACGAAGTGAAATATTTAGGCGTTTAAAGCATTAATTTAAAACGGGGCTCAATACAAAAGTATAGCCGTAAATATTTATTTATTATGCAGTGTTACAATAGAACATGCACATAACCACTACAAAACTGTACATCTTGTTTCAAAGTTTAAAAGTATTTTTTAAAGTTTCATCAGGTAGATAACAACAGATACTAAAGTAGTCACAAGAGAAGTGGCATGATATATATATATGTGTGTGTGTGTATGTGTATGCTTATAGAGCAAAAATTCATTGTTCAAAGTTGCATTATATTCGAAAAATGTCTCATTAACTTTTTATTGCGCTACACATGAGATACAACACAGATTTAAATTTGAAATAAAAGTTTACTCAAAATGGCAAGATTTATTCAAAATAAAATTTGCCGACGAATCATAAAATAATTTCTTATTGATAATGACCGATGATATAAAACGGAATGAAATCATGAGGTTTGATAAAAAAAAATTATGCAGTTTCCATACAGATATGCATAAACTGTTTCTATTTTTTAAATATATAATTATAAATAAACAAGACTTTGTTTAATGTAATACAAATATATATATATATATATATATATATATATATATATATATATATATATATATATATATATATAATCTCGAGCTGCTGCTAAAACTGGTTTTCGATGTATAATAGCAGAGCTATAATTCATATTAATAATAGTCATTTTCCCACTCACTGATAGCAAAACCACGGACTTTAATATATATATATATATATATAATATATATATATATATATATATATATATATATATATATATATATATATATCATACTGTTTCGTGTGGCTCAACCTCCGCTGGAGTCAAGCCTGGATCGAAACCGATGGATTTGATACCAGTCGGAGACTCTACCTCAAAACTATTGACGCAGAAATGAAAGTGAATTCAGACGTATTTATTTTTAGATAAACCCGCTAGTAACTGGAGAACAAAGTTCGTCTTAACAAAGAGCTTGGCATCAGTCACAAATACAGATTTTTTCCCCGTGAGCCCAACCGAAATAATATTTTTCAGGAGCATGTATATATTTTATCCACCTCCCCATTTATGAACTCAGAGTCTTTTCTTAAAACTTTATTCTGACATTGAAAGAAATAAAATTACAAATAGAAAAAAAAAACAATTAAAATGGATATTTATTCTGCAATAACAGAAATGTGGCACAAGGCCGAAAAACAATTAAAATGTGAGACGAACCAGACATAATATTAAATCCTGATCTTGCGTCTCGGCTTAAGTCACTTTACCACCGCCGCAAAGTTTCCTCCCTGTGCTGTTTATACTTTCATGAGCTCTTTGTTATATTGTACCCATATATATATATATATATATATATATATATATGTGTGTGTGTGTGTGTGTGTGTGTGAGTGGGTGTGTTATTATTTCACTGATCACATAAACCTTATTAACGTGAATCTGATCTAATCTGTGTTGTAAACCGAACAGTTGACGCCTACCTGAGATAATCTTCGAGAATTTTTAATAAAGAAAATGCCAGTGCCCACATATTTTTTATTAATGTTTCCCGAATCCCAGAACAGCGCATTTCAATTATCCTTTTTAAAATCGAGAACTTTCTTTGCAAAAAAAAAAAAAAAAAAATCATATATCGTCCCTCTGAAGTTATTAGGCAAATCACATAAACATTATTAGCGTGAATTTGCATTGAATTGTTTTTTTTTTTTAAATTAAGCGCTTCATTTATACGCCAAAACAAAGCCTGAGCTAAATTTTTAGTTATTTTACTGTTTTGAAACAGGATCATTGACACTTCTAACATTTGATAGAATATTGTGTAGGTTATTCCGTGGTATCCTTTCTTTGTCTGATATCAACAATGCGCCATCTGCAGAAGTGACCCACATTATCATAAATCACCCTATTTCTTACAATTATCTTAACTCTTAACCCCAGGATGCTATCCTTGTTTCAAGGGTACCTACGGGCTTAATCTATGCAATTGAGACTTCTTCTAAAAGAACATATCGAGGTACATAAGAAAAAAAGTTTTTCCTTTCCGGGGTAGGTTGGAGAGAGAAGAACCTCTAATTTCTTATACCTAGTAATATGAATGATGCAAGCACTTCTTCACACTCCGGTGTGAAATTTGAATCTACATTATATTATATTATATTATATACAAATAATAATCTGCTATGTTATTGGTCCTGATATGGCATCTCGGCTTCAGTCACTTTCTTACCGCTGGAATATAGCTTCAGTGCGCTTTTCATTATATTCTAATTCCTCGCAATTGTTATGATGAACCTTCATCTTTGGTACCTAGAGACAATGTTTTTAAGCCCAGTATTACATTGGCAGCAAGGTCTCGTCATTTGACACTTCCAATTGCAAGATATATGTCCACAGTTTCTTTTGTCACACATGCCACTTGTGGAAATCTCTTCCACGTCAAATTTGGTCCTCAAAAAATAAAATGCAATATCAATCATTAATTTCCGTCTTAACTATTTTTTTTAATGTTCTCTCTCCTTAATAGTGTTTTATTCTCATATTCTCTAATTCCCAGTAACCCTTTTCGTCTCAGTATCTGTCCTCAAAGACACATGGCACAATAGATAAAAGCGTTAGCTAGATCCAGTGACAGCACCCAAAGAGTGTGAGTTCAATACCGGGTTAAGGTAGTTAGGAACTTTCAGAGGGAAATTAACAAGAGATAGCTGCCAACTGGCATCCATTAAACATAGCACGTGGAACTAGAACAGTCTACCTCAGTGAGCGAAATGGTTCAGTTCGATATTCCAACCACCTAAAGAAGGCTGGAGCGTACAACGGTCGAAAAGTTGTAATAAATATAGCGACAAAAATGAGGACAATAGTCCGGATAATGTAAATAATGCACTTTTTGTCTCAGTGGCTTTATTTTCTTGCTTGGGTTGACAAGCGTAAAAAAATTGAAAAATTATAATATAGAATGCAATGTTTAAAAACAAAATTTGCACAAGATTTTCTTTTCTCTGTTTAACATTTAGGCAAGATAAAATTTATAATTACTATTCTGATGAACTCATAAAATATTATCACAGTATTATATTCAATTGCACGTATTCAGTCGAAAGGAGTTTAGAATGTTGACGATTCACAGACGTCGCTGGCTTCCTGGTTTGTTTAGACAATTGTTCAGTTTTACAAATTGAGATGAGAAATCTTTTATTTTTCTACAAAGTTCAAAATCATGATATAATGTCAAATATTCTCAGACAAATATTAATCGTAACTAAATGTGTAAAATCTTATCCTTTCTGGGTTTTTTCCCGTATTCTTTTTGCATCTTTCTTTCCTTTGTGTTCCTAGTCATCGTGTGGGAACGTTTAGTTTTTCGTTTGCTTCCGATCCCACAAGCCGCCATCTTGCTTGTGCATGCCGAAAAACAATATGTTGTGCTTGTTGTTGTTGTTGTTGTTGAGAGGTGACAACTTTCTGAATGACAAGGCAAATATTTTAAACAGCTCCAAATCGGATCCGAATTGAATCAGAAATTTAACACTGTTTGTAAGTTACTTTCTCCATTGTTCAAAAGATCACGAACTGTACCTTTTAAAACAAACCCTGTTTGCAAGCATAATTTAGGCAGTTTTTGAGACCATCAAACATAAGCATTTTTTTTTTACAATTTTTTGATTACAATATTTTATGCATGTATCTTTATTCTATAAACCGGCAAACTTCTTTAAAGCGGTTCTTTTAAAACGACAAATTGACCTTCACATATACAAAAGTTTTCACGTCATTTTTTATTCAAACAGTTTTTTAAAGTCTGGCTTCGTTGTTGTAGTACTATATTTAAAAGCAAATCCGTGTTAGTAACATTCTTCTTTTATTAACATTTTTAATGAAAAGAAAATATAATAAAATTCTTTTATTATTTTTATTATTTACAATTTAATTATTTTAAAATTATTTGATATCTATTTTTATTATATGAACATTTTGTACTGTTTTTGGTATATGCTACCAAGTAAAAACACGGGAAAATTATTCTTCGAGAAAAATACACCAGTTCTAACTGGTCCACTTCAGTGGACCTCTAAAAGCCCAGATCTGAATGATATGGATTCCTGTATACTTAGCAAAACCATCGTCGTGACATCGTCGATATTTATTCATTGAAATGGAACTTAATAGAAGCTTGGAAAGAATTTCCTTTTGATACTATCCGCAAAGTTACTGCCTCCTGGTTAACTCGCTTACAACTTTGTGTTGAACATTCAGGCAAACAGTTGAAACATCTAGGATTGTTGTTAGGATTGCACATGAATCATAAATTTATTTCGGAATGCAACGCTTTTTCTACCAGATATTTTAATTTTGATGTCAATTAATAAAATCCAATTTACTTTGTTTGACAAAAACTCTAGGAATAATAGTACTATTTTTATAATGAAAAAGTAATGCGATGTTTTGCCATTATATGCAGAACTAGGGGCTAAACTGTCTTCAGGCTCAAGGTAACATTATAATGCTTTTCAAACAATTTTCCCGATACATTTGCGCAGAAAAATCTAGAAAGAAATCTGCGGTCAATAAAATGGATTTTGCAACTTGTCCTTGCTCTGAAATCTTTTCTTTTCTCTTTTTTTCCCCTCTCCCTCAAATAGCGAGTGAGATTTGATTGACGTATTTATTATTCGTTTTCTCGTCTATATCATCCGAGAGTTGACACAGAATTACTCACTTGCCTCTGGAAGTCTGCTCAAAGACCTGGTCAGGTTGAGGTCAAGATGGAGTTGGGGCAATTACAAGCCGTTAAGTTGACTGGCCAAATCTTTTCGACTCTGTAGAATGTGTTTCTTTGTGTTTGAGTGGCCAGGAAAACGAAGAGAAAAGATTGCGTGATGGTGGTGACGTTGGAGAGATGCCGGCAACAGTCAGGCTTGGTGGCGTGTTCACCAAAAAAGGATTAATTCAACCAAGTGGGCTTGGTTGTTCAATAAAGGTGATGGAGCGGCATGTTGTCGGTATAGAAGTTTATTATGTCGGTGGCGTTGAAAGTAGTCAAAGCCAGTGTTTGCTAGCAATGGCTGAAGATTTCGTTGTCTGGCTTAGATATTGTGATTGAAATGTTTTCCTTCGGTGTTAGAGAAATCAGTCATTGCATTTGTAATAGTAAAAATAGGTTTTTATATAAACCAGTCAATAGTATTACAAAAATCTGGAAAGATTTGTCTAGTCAACATAACACGTTTATTATTCCATCTTATTTTAATCAGTTCGCCCCAAGCAAGGCGATAAAGTCACTAAGCCTCACAGGAATACCAAGAGAAAAAAAAAAGAATGAGAAAAAAATTAGAAAGGACAGGAAGCAAATCCTTAACAGGAAACAAGTGGTAAACCCCTACTCCTGTTCAAAATACCGGAGAGTCTCTAATTTTGATTGCTAAAATAGTAAATGGAGGTTTTATGCTTATTTTCGGAATTTTCTGTTTAAGTAATTAGTATAAATTAGTATTACTAGTAAAACATGAAAAAATATCGTATTGTACATTTTATTTTAATTTTTTAAGATTGATCTATTCCTCGGATTATTATGTAGAGATGTAAAAGTGTACAAATTCAATATTGAGAAGATTTCCGGATTCATCGAAACAGACGGTAAAAATATATATGCGTTATTATCTCTATCTATAATTTCTTTCTTTCATTCTTTATCTGTTTCTTTCTTTCTCTCTCTCTCTTTCTTTTTCTTTCTTTCTTTTTCTCTTTCCTTCTTTCTTTCTTTCTTTATTTTTAGCTTTCCTTCGTTCTTTTTTCTTTCTTTTTCTCTTTCCTTTTTTCTTTCTTTTTCTCTTTCCTTCTTTCTTTCTTTTGCTCATTCTTTCTTTCTTTTTCTCTTGCTTTCTTTCTTTCTTTTTCTCTTTCCTTTTACTTTCTTTCTTTTCCTTTCTTTCTTTTTCTCTTTCCTTCTTTCTTTCTTTCTTTTTCTCTTTCCTTCGTTCTTTCTTTTTCTTTCTTTTTGTCTTTCCTTTTTTCTTTCTTTTTCTCTTTCCTTCTTTCTTTTTCTTTCTTTCTTTTTCTCTTGCTTTCTTGCTTTCTTTCTTTCTTTCTTTCTTTCTTTTTTTCTTTCTTTCTTGCTTTCTTTCTTTCTTTCTTTTTCTCTTTCCTTCTTTCTTTTTTCTTTCTTTCTTTTTCTCTTGCTTTCTTGCTTTCTTTCTTTCTTTCTTTTCCTCTTTCCTTCTTTCTTTTTTCTTTCTTTCTTTTTCTCTCTCTTTCTTGTTTTCTTGCTTTCTTTCTTTTTCTCTTTCCTTCTTTATTTATATATTTTTCTCTTTTTCTTTCTTTTTCTCTTTCATTCTTGCTTTCTTTCTTTTTCTCTTTCCTTCTTTATTTATTTCTTTTTCTCTTCTTTCTTTCTTTCTTTCTTTCTTTCTTTCTTTCTTTCTGTCTATAACGGGAGTTTCTAAAGGAAGAAAGATTTAATTTATCATTTGAATTTCCCCGAAATTGGTATCATTATATCACAAAACACCGTGCATCACTGAATAAGTGAATGCTAAAGAATGACAAACATACTTATTTCTCAGAGTGACTTTTAGAATGCTACGACGTACACAAAGTTATATATATATATATATATATATATATATATATATATATATATATATATATATATATATATATGTATGTCACACGCAGAGAAATTATAACAAATACATAAAGCAAATGTTCCTTAAAAAAAAGTGAGTACTTTTACTTGTAATAATTCCTGAAGAGAGAACTGGGGTTAAAGCGGATTCTCTATGAACCTGGTTAGGCCACGTGTTTTTTTCTTTTCTTCTGTAAATCCTGCCGCTTTAGGCTAGAGATGCCCTTCTTTACTGGGCTCTTCAACGTAACTCCACTACGTCATTCTATCCTCCCACGTTATTATCTCAACCAAAGGGAGACAATCGAAGTTTGTATGCGTATATTTCTGTCTTTCTTCCACTAACTCTAAGCGTATTATTTTCCTTCTCTCTTCCACGGAATTAAATCAAAATGTTCTATTATATATCCGAGCTAATTCTAGAGATTCAAATAAGTCGGTACATATTACATGCTTTCTTTTTATATCTTTATTTCCAGCAACACGTAGGAGGGTGGGTTTGGACATTAGTTACGTGGAATAGTGGTTAGCAAGGCTTGTCTCGCTAGATCAGTTACTGAATAGTAAGATTGATCCTTATAGGGTTACCCATAATTTCGGCGTTGTTCCATATCTAACCTACGCTTAGAAAATCATAAGATCATAGGTAGAAAGGTACATAGGCTGACTATGAAGGTATGGCGCTAGAGCTGTGAAATCTTGCTGGCATTTCTTTCAATTATTTCTCCTAACTGTATCGTTTCCTTCCAGATAAAATAATATTTGACTCGTTAAAGAACGCTAGAAATGTAACTATTAGCAACCTCTCTACAAACGGGTGAACGTTTGCCATGAAATGTTTTAGAAATATATGCAGCATAAATAAAAGTACTACAAAATAACTTCAAATGCTGTAAACTGTGTCTTATATTATTTTCCATTTATCTAGTGTTTTTGGCAGACAGACAGTTAAATTATCCATAGCAACACAGATTTCAAATTTGAAATTCATTCAAATTATTTATTGACGTTCGTATGTGTGTGTCCATGTAGATGTTTATAAATTAACAGACAAAATTTTATTAGATAAAAGAAAATAATCATCTTAAAATTAATTACATACAGACATATACTTATATATACTTTATAATAAGATTAGTAAATTACACACACACACACATATATATATATATATATATATATATAACAATGAATCATCCATACAAAAAATAGATTAGTAAAGTATATATATATATATATATATATATATATATATACAATGAATCATCCATACAAAAAATAGATTAGTAAAGTATATATATATATATATATATATATATATATATATATATATATAACAATGAATCATTCATACAAAAATTAGATTAGTAAAGTTAATGATATAAAATTGGTGAAATCCTTTCGCAAACAAAATTTTAAAGTTGCATTAACCTACAAATTACTTGATGAATGTTCTGATTCTTGTTTTTGATAACTGTAAGCTGTATAAAGTGTTATTTTTAATAAGCAAGTACTTTCAACTGTACATTCAGTCATCCTCAGGCATCGAAATTATTTTGTTTTTAGTAAAAATCTAAAGACTAAGTAATGTCTGCATGCTCCAATAGTTTGTATCCTTTAACAATAACATTTAAAAAAAAAAGTCATATTTCGATTCGCATTTAATTTTTTCGTCTCGGATTCTACCTGGACTTTACTAAAAACACAATAATTTCTATGCCTGAGGATGACTGAATGTACAGTTGCAAGTACTTGCATATTAAAAAATACCTTATATAGCTTGTAATTATTAAAAAAAAGGAACATATCATTCTTTGATGGATTTGGGTTAATGCAATTTTAAAATTTTGTTTGCGAAATTAACTTTACTAATCTAATTTTTCTATGAATGATTCATTGTAATATAAATTGAACTGCATCACACACACACACATACACACACACACACACACACACACACACACACATATATATATATATATATATATATATATATATATATATATATATATATATATATATATATATTGTCCAAGAAGAGCATTGAACATCAAAACTCCTAGATGCAGAGGGTAATAATTGAGTAGCGGTATAGATGACATAAATTGTTGAAAAGTAATTGTCAGGACCGTTCTTTTGATGATGAACATTTACATCTATGTATCTATTTATCTATCAATAGTTCAAGAAGAACCTTGAACATATACACTCATAGAATCAGAGAGATTAATTGGGTAAATGTATGGATGAAAGCAATGATTGACTAGAAATTGTCAGAAGCTTTCTTTTGATGGCAAACTCTTAGATCTATCTATCTATCTATCTATCTATCTATCTATCTATCTATCTATCTATCTATCTATGTATGTATGTATCATCCAAGGAAAACCCATAGATGCAAAAGGGAAGAATTTTGTAAACTTATGGAGGTATGACAGAAACAGTAGCGATAGCTTGCTAGAAACCTTCTTCTGATGACAAGTATTTCTATCTATCTATCTATCTATCTATCTATCTATCTATCTATCTATCGTCCAACTAGAGCCCTGAACAAGTATCTCAAAGATGGAAAAGGGAAGAATTGTGTGAACGTGTGGAGGCAAGGATGACAGAAACAGTTGCAAAAACTTACCAGAAGCGTTCTTCTGACTCCAGTTATTTATATCTATCTATCTATAGTCAAAGAAGAACCTTCAACTTTCATACAAAGATGAAGAATTGTGCAACTGTATGGATGAGAGAAACAGTTAGGAAAAAATGTTAGGACCCATCATTTGTTCATTATCTATCTATCTATCAATCTATCTATCTATCTATCTATCTATCTATGTTCATTATCTATCTATCTAAGTATGTTCATTATCTATCTATCTATATATCTATCTATCTATCTAAGTATGTTCATTATCTATCTATCTATCTATCTAAGTATGTTCATTATCTATCTATCTATCTATCTATCTATGTTCATTATCTATCTATCTGTGTTCATTATCTATCTATCTATCTATCTATCTATCTAAGTATGTTCATTATCTATCTATCTATCTATCTATCTAAGTATGTTCATTATCTATCTATCTATCTATCTAAGTATGTTCATTATCTATCTATCTATCTATGTTCATTATCTATCTATCTATCTAAGTATGTTCATTATCTATCTATCTATCTATCTATCTATCTATCTATCTATCTATCTATCTAAATATGTTCATTATCTATCTATCTATTTTCATTATCTATCTATCTATCTATCTATCTATCTATCTATCTATCTTCCAAGAAAAAACCTTGGATTATAAAATCATAGATTAACTGGAGAAGCATTGGGTAAGGCATGAACGACAGAACAGGTTGGGAAAAAATCGTCAGAAGTGTTTTATTTACTTCTACCTACCTATATATCAATCGACCAGCATGGACCTTGATGGAACAGTTCAGACATGACACTAGGATCTGAAAGGCAGAAGTGTGTAGCGATTTGGTTGACTGAAATGATTGAACAGAAATATACAGAAGCATTCGATTAGAACGATCATATACAATGATCGATAATATATACATGTATAGGAACGTTGTTTGATTATCTGTGAGACAAATGCACTTTTTATTTGGTTTCTGAAGAACAGGCCAATTAAAAATATCTCGTTGCATTATACTGAACATGCTAAGATAAAATAGCCTAGTGAATAAAAGTGTTGTTTAATTGTGAGTTCAATCCTTGTGCCAGGCCGTGTGTGCGAATACTTAATGGAAACAGGGCGAGAAATAACTGAACAGCACTAAAAATAAGAACTAGACGAGTTATCGCTAGATATGTTCAGTGGAACGAGAACATTTTACACTAGTAAATTAAATAAAGGTTTCAGTCAGTAGGGTACCCGGATTTACAGATACCTGATGAAGCCCAGAGGGTAATACGGCCGAAACGTTGTGATAACAACAACAAAGATGAGGAAATAGTTCACTTGTAAATAAAAAGAAAGAGGCGCTCATATAAAATGGTGTCACATCTTTTGAAAGTGCTAGTCACAGTTTGTTTTTTTTTTTCACCCAGCGCTACCACAGGGCTATTTCACTCCAAGAAAACTGAAATCCTGGCGACCTACATCATCCTAACCTTTATTGATCCTAGCAATAGATTTATTTTAATATCTCCGCTTTCCTGTCCTGACATCCGTTTATACTATCTCGTTTCGTTTTAAAACGTATTTAATTATTTGTTTAATCTCTGTGTGTTCCGAAGTTTCGAAAGCATCTTTCCTTATAATGTGTGCAAGGAATTTACTGTCTTTTTGTGTCTTATATAGAAGCCTACTTTTTATTGCATTTTCCATAAAACTTCCTTATTAGTCACACGTCCCGTCCATGGCATTTTATGTATGGTACTTTAGAACAACATCTCGGTTATCTCACGTCTCCTTTTCATTTGAGGAAATTGTCAAAAACAAGGAATTGTTTTATATAGCATTTCAATGCTGTTTGCTTTGTTTTTAATGCGATTCTTCTGGTTCATAATAATTTAAATATAGATAAATCTCTTCACCTTCCCCATGCCATGTCTCTTCAGAACTTTGGTGATCATCACTCCCTAAAATTTCCCAACCATTGTAGCTCTTACCAAAATTGGTCTTTTTTTCTATCTCTCGTAAACCCTGTTCTATCAACCATCTACACAAGCTCATTATGTACGGTAAGCGCTGTTTTAATATCAGTAACCTCTGTATACTGGTCCAATTTTAAAAGCCATCTTCGCTCATCATTTAGCCTTGAAATTTTATCCCGATATTTATGTTAAATATAAGTGTCTATTTGTTCCCAGTTTCTCAAAAACATTGTTGTTGTTCACATGCTCAGTTGATTATATACTCAGCATCCTTCTGTAGAACTACTTCATCTGTGTAGCGTTTGTAGGAGAACTAACATTATGCATCATTCAGTATTCTTTTCTATGTTTCTAACGGAATTTTATTCTGTTTCTTTATACTTATTATTTGGATAATTGAAATTATCTATTATTGAATATATATTATTGAAGTATTATTATTATTATTATAGAATATTATTATTGAATTTTGATAAAAAAAATGAAATGGTTTCGAGACACCAGACATCATTTTTAGCTATTACTAGCAGTAGAGCCCGGCGTTGCCCGGGAATGTAAAAGTAAGAGATAGATCAAGTATCGACCATCATAAAGACTAAAAAATAAAATTGACAAAGATTATTGTTTAAGGTTGACGGACACGCATGTCTTTATTATTTTTTTCTTTTTTTTCGAATTGGTCAAACCGAAACTCAAACAAAAACATTGTTTTCAATCGTTATGCGTCTACCGATTGAATAGAATTTTATTATAAACAATTGTTTTGTAAATGGAATTTTAAAACCATTCTGAATGTAAAAATAAAGAAAAAAGTGTGCAAGACAATAAGAAACACTACCTGCCAAAAAAAAGTGAAATTTTGTTGAAGTCGGTTGAAAAATTTAGGAAATCCGATCCCATGGATAAATGAACACACACACACACACACACACACACACAATACACAGACTAACAACCTGGGTTTTATAATAAGTATAACTTGATATGAGTTGTCCCCCTTTAATTCTCGCGATGCCTCTTAATCGTGTTTTCAAATTGATTTTGTGCAAAAACAATTGCATTTTTTCAAAATTTGGCGCTGTCAGAACCACTGCAAGGTAATTTTACGTAGTCCTGTGAAGTTTTGTTGAAATTAGTTGAAAAATGTAGGAAATCCGATCCAATATATAAACGTACAGACACACACACACACAACCTGGGTTTTATAATAAGTATGATGTAGGACGCCGAATCTAAAAAAATACCTTCCTTTTTTTCGTAGTGATGCGATAAATTTGTGAATGTCAAAAAAAAAAAAAAGATTTTAGGCTTTCCTTTTTTATGTTAGCTTTGTTCTCATGGTTTCTAAAGTTTATTACTAATAAAGTTTATCAGTTAATTTTCATTTTGGTTATAAATTGAAAAAAGAAAACGTACTTCTATTTTTACATTTTTGACTCGAAAACACTTTCTTCCTTTAAAAATAGTTTATTTCAGGTGGATGACATAAAGTGCTCGGCCTATCTGAAAATTGATGGATTTCTACGACGTTTATTAACTAAAGTCTGCAATCAGGTATGATCGTAAACTGATCTTTACTTAAAAAAAAAATGAGCATTTTTAGTACAGCAAAAATGGTGGCTAACCATTAAAACTAAGACCATTTTCAGAATCGGAAACATCAAATTTGCTAAAAAAAAGGTGATTTGTTTCTTGGCACCAAAAATCGTTATGACCAGTTATTGAATATCTATTATTGAATTATCTATTATTCACATTATTTATTGAAATTACCTATTGAAAATATACTTTTTGATTATTGAAGACTTCGGATTTCGATGTTGGATATGATGTTCTCTGTTAATATATTTTTTCATATTTAAATTGACTTACTGATATGATTTTGGCATCTCCCATCTTCAATTTGCACGTTAGCCTGTCCCCTTTGTGGACAACCGTATATTCCGTCTATTTACAGCTGATGTTTAGCCCTTTATTTTGTTTTCCTTCACTACCCCCTGTAGAAGTTCTTGTATTTTATTTTATTTTTTAACGTGACGACATAAAAGGAAATACTAACCGGAAGTTTATAAAATATTGATTCCAATATTAAATAAATAGTGAAATGTGGCTTGTTTAAACATACGGCTTTTGTTGCCATCAGACAGATCTACAAATATTTATATTACAAAGTAACAACCAACTTGTTGGCTGAAGAGAAGGTCTTCCTCAATAGAGACTGCAATGATGCAGCCAAAGAAAAGAGAGTATTTCATCAGGTTTATATTGGCCTTTATCAGCTTTATATCGACCTTCATCAGGTTAAAATCGGCCTTCATCAGGATTATATCGGCCTTCATCAGGTTTAAATCGGCCTTTATCAGGTTTGTATCGGCCTTTATCAGGTTTATATCGGCCTTCATCGGGTTTATATCGGATTTCGTCAGGTTTATAACGGATTTCATCAGGTTTATATCGGCCTTTTCAAGGTTTATATCGGCCTTCATCAGGTTTATATCGGCTTTCATCAGGTTTATATCGGCCTTCATCAGGCTTATATCAGCCTTTATCAGATTTATATCGGCCTTCATCAGGTTTATATCGATCCAGGTAACCTTCATGGAATTCCGAACGGAACCCTTTATTTACGTTATTACTACTGAGGATTTACTGCTGATACTACATATATAAACTACTTCCAAGTATATGTCTTTATTACTAGAGAGTCTCAAGAAATTGGTTTTGAAAAGAGAGATCTGTTTTATACAAATATTTTCATGGCAGTTGCTCTGACTACATGAATGTAAGCATACTACCAAACTGGCATCTAGGTCCTATCCATTTACTGTTGAAATCGCTAAATACAACCGCTGTTTCTGCTTCAACAGTTTCTTCTTACACTTCCCACCTGCAGAACTCCCTTCCGTTTACTTACTCGCCTGATAACTACAATCTTTACAAATTTAAATGCGACATCATTCACCGTTTTGTCATCTTGAATCCCGTTCATATTTTGTTCTTTACCATTCATCCTTATTCTCAGTCTTCGTTTTCTCTTTCATTCCCTATATACCCACTACGTTTAGTGGCAACCACTAAGGTGAAATCATTAAAAGCAATATGTTTTCAACAACAGAATATGTTGTCCTTGTATGATTTTCTGGAAGGTGGGATTATCATCATTTCAACTATATACATTCAGCCTGTTGTCCTCATCTTTCTTGTTTTTATCATAACGTTTCGGTAGCTAAGCTCTCCGGCCTTCATCAGGTTTATATCGACCCACGTAACCTACATGGAATTCCGAACTGAACACTTTATTTAATATATTTCTATTGTGGATGTACAAGCAAGGGAGATTCAGAGATTGAACTATATCTGTGATATGTTAATCAAAAATGGAATGCGTCAAATACACATCCGATCAGCCATGAGATCGACTAAAGATGCCTTTCGGAAATTAAGATCATTTTTACGAAAAATGTGCCAAGAAGCAACGAAATGGGATCTCTTATATGACAGTGAATACCGGAGAATCCTTTCATGAATAAAGAGATATTGAATCGAGAGCGAAGTGCTTCCAATGAATAATTATGCAAGGACCATATGTAGATCAACTTTGACATTTTAAAGAAAATAGGGATAACAATTTTTGTAAAAAGATAATTCCAACACAAGCATCCGATTCTGTGGTTGTCTTCCCCTTCCTTAGTTCGC